TAAGTAAGAAGAATCTAGTTCAGCAACACACCTATTAACAGAGTTATTTCCAGGCACATGAAGAGCTTACATAAGCAAGTAACTAGTAAGATCACCTCAGTTGGGGGTGCCTTTACATGCCTCGAATTTCGCCAATAATTATAACGCATGTTTTATAATACTGAGTTAGCGACACACACTCAAAATCATCTGTAGTGGTTTATTTCTATGAAGCGCAGTTCATAGACAAGGCCTTTGTAACCTCCATTCCTTTTTTACAAAAGAATAGGCAAGATTTACGCTCGCTCTTTCGAAATTTTCAAGCAGTTGTTCAGTAATAAGAAGTTGTTTAACGGCTTCTAAAATCTATGTACGCATACGTCACTATTTTTATCCTCTCATGTGGTTAGAGGAGTTTGGGAACAATTAACCAATCCTGGAGGTACGGAATGCCTGTCTGGTTTGAGAGAGATTGGAGCCATGATTGTGTTCCTGAGCCACGGACTTCGCGCATGGTATGTGACTCCGCGTGCTACTATGCATCACCTCCGCCCCAAAGGACCCGTATGTGATTCCAAAAATAGTAGACCTAGCGATTCTAGTTCACCATTACGCAAAAAGGTTAAAGGCATGCCCCAGGATCACATTGGGTGTGGCTCTTGCACACGAATGCGAATGTATTGGTGCGAAATGGGCCGGCAGTAAAGAAAAAAGGAAAAGAATTCAAAGAAAATGCTTAGACCGCCGTCACACTTGGCGACGGACAAGCGATGGAGCGACGTGATCGCTCGATCTTAGGATAACGGCTCACTCACCTTCGTATCGGCTGTGCTAAGGGAATGAGAGACTAAGCGCGGAGAGAGAGAACATGATGAGAGAGCGCCAGACAACAGCCTGATAAGAGAAAAAACTGCAGCTTCAGCAGCTTACTTTGCAAGGCCCAAGCGCTCTTGTTGGTTTCCGTGCACGGGAACGCCACATTTGTGATTGTCCTCTAGGGGTCTATACTACAGACCGAAGGGAAGCGTTCACACGACCTCTGCCTGGGTTGTGCCTTTAAGGCTGTTGCAATAGTAATGCCACACATATTTCACCGGTGGCTGCTTTTAAGTCCTACAGGTACATGTGCATTCGTTCAAAACAAGACACCTTTGTTTCTTTTCACTTAATTTTTGTGCTGAACGATGACTTGGTCACGAAAAATCACCACCGAAGAGAAAAGCGGAAATGGACTGATGCTTTCGGCTCATTCACTATTCAGCTCCTTTCGCCTCCAACAGAGTCCTAGCGAGTCGCGAGAGCGAGAGAGTCTTAACGTAGCATGTTGCGGAGAAGAAATGGATTAATCCTTATACTGCTCAAGTTCCAACCTTGGGAGTCGAAGTTTGCAAGCGCACAGTTGCTCCGATTCTTCGGAAAGACCATCACCTGTATCACCTGTCGTCCCGTTGATCATCGAATTGCTCGAGCGGGCGCCAGCAACGTCTCCATTCGTCCCTGTCGCGTGCAAGAGTTGTCCAGTGGACCCTCCTCGCTCGAGGGACACGAAGTCCTTCATTCCTTTCGTTCAGAGCTTTCGTGAAGAAGTCTGACCATCGGGCCGGCGGTCGTCCAGGTGTTCGTTTGACGTCCCGAGGGATCCAGTCGGTAACCGCTCTGGTCCAACGGTCATCGCAAAATCGCATGACGTGTCCGGCCCACCTTATCTTCGATTCCTTGGCGAAAACGGCAGCGTCCCTGATCTTCGATCGTTGGCGTAGTTCGGCACTCCGGATTCCCCTCTGCACTTGCGTGTATAGGGTTACTCCTAGCATCGTCCTCTCGACAGCGCGTTGGATAACGCTGACCGCATGCTCGTCCCCGCAAATGTTCGTCCCTGCTGCGCAGCAGTTTAAGTCCTGAAGTCGCTACGGCTTAAAGGAGCAACACTTCCACTGAGAGATCAATAACCTATGCACGAAATAAACGACGAAACGAAATAACAGCTACCACCATACCAGTCCTTGAAATCGCACTCTTGTCGCTCCTGCTGCGGAGCGATGCTCGCTTCATAAGACGTCACAACGAAAAGAATGTCACAGTGCCACAAATACGCTTCCACCACCACCATCCCAGAGGAGAGTGAGAGCCATCTAATATTTCCTCTAAAAAGGCCAATTCATAAAAAAGCCCTTAGTGTCCTAAGACCTTTGTATACGCTTCATTGAGTATTTCAGCAAATGACTGAATACACACAACATTCCACAACGACCTTGGATAGTCTGGAAGAAGCATGTGACCGACCCAACGTGGAACGGGACTCACAAGATAGGTCACAGACAGAGTTTCGATAGAATCCTGACAAGCAGACCAGTAGCAACCATCAGTCCCGAATACGATGAAGCCTCAACGAGCATATGGAGAAGCCCAAGCTTAAGACGCCAGCAACGAGGAAGAGCACACCCACCTGCCGCTGTGCACGCCATGGAAACGATACTTTGGACGGGGCATGACCTTCCAAGGAGTCACAGGTATCTAATAGATACCACAGATAGCCACTCCAAAACGGCTTGACTCGCTACCTTCTCGATATCCCAACCGATGCGTACCTAAATCGAGGCAGAGATTTTCATTTTACTTCCCCTGTGCGTTTTTTTTTTCGCGTCCAATCACGCCACATCTCGTGACAGAAGCCTAACACAAAGCCAGGCATTTTGAGAACTTCCGCAATGGAACTCCGAATTACGATACTTGTAGGTTAATAGAAGAGACCGAAATCTGCTATGAAATTGCCCAAGGAAGTGATATATATGGTCAAGTGTTGTGCGAATGCCAGGATCGGAGTATTAAACAATGTCAATATAATGGTACAAACTGCCTTCTATCAAAGGATAGCCGAGAATAGTTTCCGATACAAAATACATACATATTCTTATTCAGATCATAAGAGCCATTCTGACAAATTTTGAAGAGCGCATACACCGCGCTAAAATCAACAAAACCAAAATTCGGTTAAAAGAGCAATAGTCGCTAGGGAATGAGACTTTGACCAATCATTGGGACGTGCATACAGGAAAAATGGACTATGCTAGTTTACATAGCACATTTGAATTAACTTACGATTACGACATAACAATCCCAAGATCTATCGAGCCTGGCCAAGGCCTAAATTCAAAGTAACATAGTAAGTTGGAAGCCTTTCCTGACAAAAGACAAGACAAGAACAAACGTGGGGACCACAGAACTCACTCCGATCTTTCTCTTCTGTGGGCACAAGTAATGCTACCGATATCCTGGGCCGGATGCAGGCAAGCCCGGCCCGGGACGGGTTGCCCAACAACTTCAGCTTCTCCCACCGGTCGATGACCTAATCTCGGCGCTCAAGAATGGGATGCGTCTAGAGATGCAGTTTTGGGCACCATCCCCTGCTGGCTTGCTGAGTAAGCAGAAACAGCAACAACCGCCGGCCTGAGATCCCACGAACCGGACGACCAGAGCCGATGCGGCTAACGTTACCTAATCTCAAAGTCAAGCAATTTTGAACAACACACTTTCTGATGAATCTTTTTAGAAAAGCCACGACAACTTCCCGGTATGGTTCGAATGCCTGCACCTTCTGACGCTGAGTAAATGCTATAACTTATCTTTGAACGTTGTTTTCATCACTGCCATTGTACTAATTATCTGGACATAAAGTTTACAACTTCGTGTTTATTGTCAGAACAAAATTACAATCATATAGCTGAGGACACCAGCTCACAGCAGAGAATAGAAATGATAACTTCAAGTAACAACAAAAAATACGACAATATTTGCATGACTACCTTGAACTGATGATTTTGCTCCCGGAATCAATTCAATGTCATAAATAAGGGCGAGATTAAACGAAACTTTGGATTACAACAAAACAGGTTCACAAATCTATTGGCCGTCCTTTATTCATGTACGACTCCAGCTCTGCATCCAACTCAGCAACAGACTTCACCGATTTCCTTTCACGACCGGGAAGCGAACGCCGACGCATACCCCCTCTCCTTGGTTTGTCATCCACAATACGGTCGAGGAAGGAATTAGAAACACCTCCACTTGTTCTTCTGAACAGCAATACATGAAACAGTTCATAATATCCACCTCTGAAAATGCTCACCTAAACGTCTTCTGGATTCCTCGTGTGCTCTGACGAGGCAATTTACTCAGTCGACTCTCGATGCCATTAGCCACACCTTCTCCTCCATCGACAATCAACATCTTTATTAATTTACCTGTAAAAATTAGAACTTTTGAGACAGTTTCTAAGTTCAGTATTTACAAGCAAATTGGAACGAAAGCGTTCAAAGAAGAAAAAACCCTCTAAAAATGTGAAACATATTTTTAAGTGTTGAGATTAAATGCCTAACAATGAGCATGTAAATATTCCAAGACTCTTGGCTATAGATAAAACGACTGGTTTACTCAATATTGGAGAAATGTCAAAAAACTGAAGACATACCATCAAGGGAAACGCCTTTGAAATCTTCGAACATTTGCAAAGCATCTTTCCTTTTCAAGTAAACGTCGCCGGTGCCAAGTGAGATACCCTGCTCGTTGAAGTGCACCGTTGCAGTATCGATATTGTATGGACCGAAAAGCTCCTAAAATATAGAGCATAGGAAAGTACAAGCTACTTACGAATTCCAAACGAGATTCCTTCGATGCCCATCAGCGTTTACCATCACTGCGGATTAGAGAAGTCGTCACTCTGCCACAGAAATGCGTGAGGAAGCAAAAGTCTCCACCACCGAAGCACTGATATCCAAAAAAGACGTGACCGACGACCTAGCCCTAGTTTCGCTAGTCCGCGTGGAGCGGCGCGGATGGTCGTCGAAGGAACGATGGAGGCACCTCAAGGTCAGCAGAGACGACGTTAGGTCCGAGATTGGACAGATTGACGCGCACTTTCTTGTTGGGATTGCTCGATCCTGCGATCACTTTAGCAATCGCACCACCTCTCGCTCGGAAAGCTCGGCTTTCGTCTTGGAATTTGTCATGCTTCCACTTTCCTGCTGGAGTTCGCTGAAATACAGAATGCTTTAAAAAATTTTCCAAAGAATACTACATACATAT